CTGATTTTTCAAAAAATCAGCTGACTAAGCCTGGCTAAGTTGATAAAATTAACTAATGCAAATCGACTACAAACACTCTATAATATTTTTTGAACTACAATAGGAACAGCATCCGGATTAAAAATTTATTCTACTGCATCTGAGCAGTTAAAGAAAGTTTCTCTCGAGCTCGGTAGGTTTTTGTATTTTATATTAATCATTACTCATTTTGTATTCTTATATATTACACAATTCACACGTTTATCTTTTAGGTGGCAAAAATGCTAATATTATTTTCGAAGATTGTGATTTCGAAAAGGCTGTTGCGACTAGTATAAAATCTTCTTTCAGTAATCAGGGAGAGGTAACATGATATTTATAACGTAACTTATTTATAATTTATAATGTAACTTATATGGTGATGTAATACTATCAATATTTTTAATACTTTGAATATCAAGATTTGTTTATGTGGATCTCGTATATTCGTTCAATCGTCGATCTATCAAAAGTTTCTTGATGCATTCGTTCCCAAGGCTCGTAATATAATTGTCGGGGACCCTAATGATCCTAAAACTGAGGTAGGTGCCTTGGTCAGCCAAGGTCATATGGAAAAGGTACTTGGATACATCGAATTGGCAAAACAAGAAGGTGGTGTGATCGAATGTGGTGGTGGAAGGAAACATTTGCAGGGAGAGTTGCGTGATGGATATTTTGTAGAACCCACAGTCATCACTAAGTAAGAATATTTTTGTTGTATTATATTTTTGAAAAACTTACAAATAATTAGTAACGATTTCTATTTTGTTTCTAGTCTCAAGCCATCCAGTCGTGTGGCTCAGGAAGAAATATTTGGTCCGGTAAATTTTATAATTAATATTATAGTTATAATCTAAGCATAGGAATCATTTCCTTGATCCACATTTGTTTTTACAGGTTGTCACTGTTCATCCATTCGAGACTGAAGAAGAGGTTATTAATTTGGCTAATGATAGTCAATATGGGTTAAGTTGTTCAGTTTGGACACAAAACGGTAGTCGCATGCGTCGTGTCGCAGAGGCAATTCAAGTTGGCACTGTATGGGTTAATTGTTGGTTAATAAGAGATTTAAGCATGCCTTTTGGAGGAACAAAGAAAAGTGGTAAGTTTTATGAAATTTATTTTCAGTTTTATATTATTCCTAATTGTTCCTATTCTGTTTAATTGTGATGTGCTCAGGAATCGGAAGAGAAGGTGGAGAATATAGTATGGAGTTCTATACTGATCAAAAGACAATTTGCTTGGCTGAGTCAAATCTATAAATTTTGTATGTTTACATGATTATTTTTATTTGTTGTCGCGGCTAAAGCTGAAATTGGCTGATGCTGAGAATTGATACTACACGTCACTCTGGTTATACCGACATCTGGATATAACGACATCATAGTAAAATCTTTCTATATCGTCATTTTTTTTTCAAAATTTAATATAAAATGTCGGTATAACTCACTATATCGACATTTTGAATTTTTTTACTAATGAAAAAAAATTGTCGATATATCCAGAGTAACGTGTATTTTGATATGAAATTTTAAAAATTTTTGGATGCATTTTGGGGGGTTTTTTTTAGAATTAGGTTAGGATTTATGGTTAGAGTTGTTAATAAGTGTATGTGGATTTAGTAGGTTTAGTAGACTCAAATTGAAACCCCAAATTTCAGCATTAGCCAATCTCAATATTAGTTACAAATTTTATATATATACAGGAGATAACATATTATTGTAACCATTTTTTAAAAATTTATATTGAATTAAATAAATATTAAATTAAAATTATATAAAAAATTGTTTAAATTTAAAATTTTTAAATAAAAAAATTTGTAAAATTTTATGCAGTAATTTTTACAGGTTTTGGCGATCAATTTCGGACACCCCTATCAAGAATGCACCTACTCTTAAATACTTGTTAATTGGAATTT